TGGCATTGTTGTACAGATCCTATAGACTGTGTACCTCTTCCCTGATCGTTTTCCCCCAGCTCACTGTAGTAAATGCCCCGCCCAAATCAGAATTACTAGACCATATGCCGAGGTGCACAGAGATGAAGCTTCGCAGCGCACATCCAATGGGTCCTTGAAGGACTGTGGTTAACACTGCTAGGGTTACCGAATTAGGGATCCGGAGTGGTTGCAATCTCACTAGGACCGAACACCACTTCTCCCGGAGGGCAATCTACCATTCAACTTCCCAGTGATTCTGGAAATGCCGAAGATGCAGGGTACTCCACTCACAGCAGAGGCATTGCGACAAGAGCAGGCACATTTGAGACAGGAAGTTCGCCAGGACATGTCGTTTAAGAAGTCGTGTGTGTGTGTGTGTGCGTGCGCTGTGTGGGTGTAGGACTCTTCTAGATCTACCCGTGTCAGGAGCAAGCAAAGAAAAGGCTCGAGAAGGGTGGCAAGGGTGCAGCGGCAAAGAAGCAAAAGGTTGCACACGCCTCCCATCAAGCCCCAGCTGCACCTCCTGAGCACACTGCACCTCCTCAGCACACTGCACCTCCTGAGCACACTGCACCTCCTGAGCACACTGCGCCACCTGAGCACACTGCACCTGATGAGCACACTGCACCTCCTGAGCACACTGAGGAGCACCCACCACCAGCTCAGAGTATCAAGTCAGCTAAACGTGGCAAGGAACAAGCCAAAGCCCAGGCAGGTGCAGAGAAGCTTCTTCTTGCAAGTGCTGGTATTCCAGATTGTGCACCCCCCTCCGGTGACATTCGAGCCCATGCTTTGACGCGTCTGTTTCTTGCCTGCTCTCTCTAGATCTGGTGCGTACTTATAATTCAATTAGGACCCCCTGGCTTATATATGCACAGAAGTGCACAATGGGCTGTGAATTGACCTCTATATATATATATATATATATATATATATATATAGAGAGAGAGAGGTCAATTCACAGCCCATTGTGCACTTCTGTGCAAAGTTCAGAGAATGTCGTGTTACTAGGTGGGTTTAGGTTTATGGCTTAATCATTTCATTTTGCAGCTCAGGAGCTTCGTGGTGAAGTGCCCGCAGGGTGCCTCCGCGGCCGTGGGTGCGAAGGGAATCACAGTCGAGCTCAACAAGCAGTCCTTCTATGTCCAGTTTGCCATTAGAAGATGTCCTGGTGTCAATGCACCTAATCCTTTAATCTGGATACGTTTAAAATACTTCCCTGGATGTATGTATGTGTAATTACAAATCAGAGTCCAGCCCTATTACCATATCCAAGGTTGACAACAAGAAAGGCTCGACGTTGGCATGGTCTCGTGGAGACCTCCATGATGTGTGCCAGGGCAGCAAATGGTATAGTCGAATAAAGATCGTCCTGAACCCTAAGCCCTAAGCCCCTATGCACAACCCTAAGTGCTTGGTTGGGGGAGTGGTATGCTCACCCTACAACCCTCGACCCTCACCCGAAAACTGGCGGCCAGGTTATTAGTGTTGCGGTTTTGGGCAAGAGGGGTGTTTATGCTGCATGTTTCAGTTTGAAGCAGTCTTTCTTCGGGTGTTCCAATTCAAGGCCTAGTGGGTTCTGCTTGAACCCGAAACATGTAATCCCCACTATAAGCCCTAAACCCCTAAGCACCCCATACCCTGTACCATTGCATCTGCCAGGTGGGACCTCGCCCAGATCTTGGCTGGCTGGAAGCAGATCAGCCAGCGTGAGCAGGTGCAGGTGGGCGCGGCATAACCTGGGCTGTGCTAGTATAATTACAAACCCCATACCCGCTATTATAAACTAGCACCCCCCCTAAGGGTCCATGTGCCCAAACTATCTGGCTATAAGAATTAATATTCCCTATGTATACTTATTGGGCCCCTAGTCTATACTATATGTGGGCACATGGACCTTTAGGGACCCAGAGCCCTTGACTATTCATCCAATTAACCGCAAACACTGAACCCTAAACCTGGAAACCTGAACCCTGATACAACTAAGCCCAAAACCCTCAACCCTAAATTCGAACCCTATCCCCATGATCCCTAAACCCGAACCCTGAACCCTAAATCCGAAACCCCTAAAACCCGAACCCTGAGCGGCGAACCCCAAAACCGAGAGAGCCCTGAATCTAAGCCCTAACCCTCGACCCTAGAGTTGAACTCAAAACCCCAACCCCAGGGCCTACTGTTTTTGGGGTCTTGATCATCAGCCAAGTTGTGTCATCTCCACCAGCAGCCAATTCGTCTCCGATCCATCCATCTCCGCCAGGCCTGGCTGACTGCAACAACGACGAATCCGCTGCCCAACAGTGCAGATGCCTTGAGTCATGAGGAGTGAACTTTTCCAAATGCCACTGGGGACCTGAAGCTTCTACTAGTACTAGTGCAATGCAGCCATACAGTGTGACACCAACTAGATTTGCACGTGTATCAGCTGTACTCGAGTCCTAGCTACACACAGGCCCTGTGTGAGCCTAGTTCCAACCAGCGTGTGCGATTACACATGCTGGTTACTTTGTGCACAGCGCTACGCTGTGAATTAAGATCTAGGGAGCTAGTGGGACATGCCGACAGAGCCAGCCCAAATTATGAGATGTGTGATTGCATTGTTCCATGCTGTGGTGAAATCAGTGCTGTTCCGATTACTCATTCCCTGCAATGTGCATGTCTCGAAGTGCAAGATCGAACTAAGTTTATGTACATGGCCTTATCCAAGCGGGTTTCCTCTAAGTCTAGATCTCTATATATCATGGACTCCAAACCCTAATCCCTAAGCCTGGAGATCTTTCAAGTGATTTCGTTTGGAGCCTCACACTAATCCGAACCTGACTGGGCAAGGCTCAGACTGGGCTATGGAACAGCAACCCATCAGCCCCCTGGGCCTCTCCAAACGGCAAGTGGCCTTCTTGCTGCGCCTTGGCCTCCCGGCGATCTTGTGGCTTGGTGGCACAATATCGAGAGTCATGCATGAGACAGCAGTTTCAACATGACTTGCATCGAACTCTGCAGCATTCACTTCATCGACTATGCAGCTGCGATGACACCGGCAAGCACTGCCACATATGACACTTGCATGCAAGTCTAGAGTCTAGATAGTCACTTGAGGCTATAGGGAACACATTTGTGCCAGCTCAGGGGCTCTGGAATGTTGAGCTCTTTTCTGGAATCGGCTCCGTGGCCAAGGCCTTCAGTGCCTTGGCTGACAGTCGAAAACAGCTAACACCAAACCCAACACGTGATCACATTACTTGTACTTTCTTTTGGCATCTGTGGGGCGAGGGCCCTCTCGTCTAGGACCCTTCTCTACTCTGGTTTGTTGCCATAGGGTATTGAGGGCATGGGATAGGTTTTGCTTCGTTCGAGCTCTGAAGTGTGTTCCAGGGTTTGGGATATCGGGGAACCCCAATCAGCCCTGAACCTAATTAGTCTGCAATTGTGGTTCTCGGGGGTGAGGATGCTCGTACTGTCAGGAGAGCGTGGCTATGCTGCGCAACGTGTCTGCTTTTAACATCGAGTTCTTAATTTATTCCAATTAATTACTATAGGACAAATCCATATACACTACCCATTGCATCATATCCCATCCATATATATATATATACATTTGTATATATATATATATATATATGGGATATGATGCAATGGGTAGTGTATATGTATTTGTCCTATATACTCTAGACCCACACTACACACCTGTACCCAAACTGCCCCGGCCGAGGGAGTGCTATGACTGGAAAGTGAATGGCTACGACTTTTGCAGTTTTGAGGGCTTTTTGCAGGCCGTGGTTCTGGTCTTGAGAATGAAACCAGGAGCATTGCTCCACATCGGATTACCTTGTTCCAATTTTGTTTGGATGTCGAGCAGTGTGCACATGCGTTCAAAGGAAGCACCACTTGGTGATGTATCAAAACCATCCGTTGTACGATCAAACTGCATCTTTGAGCGTGTTGTCCTTTTGATATATCTCGCCTTGGCGAGAAGGATCTGGTTTTTTCTGGAACAGCCACGATCCAGTGTTGTTCCCTATATGGCGGCCATGCAAGAACTCTTGAGTCTCTGTGGTAGAGGGTACCATTGCACATGGTGGATGGGGTGTTTTGGCCACTGGACTATCAAGCCCTCGCTGGCCCTGGGAAATGCGCCCTGGATACCAAAACTTCAGTTCATTGGCAACAGGTGGTCGGGGACCAAATAGCTAATGGTGTCCATCATCCTGCATTGAATACAAGCTATGTTCCAAATCTCTCTATAATCTCTGAAGCTTGCTAGCCTGATCAGATCTAGACTAGAGGAGTGAGTAGCCTAATCCCAAGAGGCACATACTGAGCCATTATTTTTGAAGGCTTCCAAAGGATCCCAAGCACCTAGCTCAAAAGGATGTTCATTTTTTGCTTATGCATTATTAATGTAGGAACCTGGTTAAGAATCCTTTGGCCTTTTTCGGGGTTCCTTTTAAGTCCCACTAATTCGGGGTTATTGGCCCAGGGTTTCTTAATCAGGTTCCTATAAACATCAGAGAACTCATGATCATACACCGGTACCTATTGTGGTTCAGTAATATTCCCCCATAAACCCTGAAATATATAAAATTAGGGGGGTAGCTGTGTGCTTTAGATATTAAATCCCCCTGCCAGGATCAACAAGGCTCTGCGGCAATCCCTCGCCAATGTCTGTCGCCTGCGTGGCTTGGTGAAAGTCACCCGCAAGAAAAAGCGGGATGGCTCTGTGGCTGTGAGACCCGTCTGGGTCAGTCTGGGCTTTTGCAGGGTCGCTAGGAAATCTATAGACTCTGTGCGGCTATTCTAAAGGCGAGGGTTCAAATAATTTAATACCAGCTGCCACCAACCCTTGCATGCAGTGGATACTGATGGCCCTTAAGCTATAGGTTTCTTGCAGGGAGCTGGTAATGTAGAATCACGGTTTGATGCTCAGGACTGGGTCCAGGGATCTGGTGAAAACCGGAGAGTATCCGAGAAGCTTTGCTGACTTCATGGCGACATCTCATGACCAGGTTGCTACAGCGCTGTTGGAGAAAAACTCAAAATTAAATGTAGACTTCTCGCTGTTGCTCTAGGCTGGGGTTTCTGGTTTCAGGTTCTAGGCCTTCTTGTTTATAACCTCCGGACCTATAGCTAGAGGGTAGGGGATCAGATTTGTTTCTTTATAAGGGTTTCAGAGTTTTGCTTCTACAGGGCTTTATAGTTTAGGGAAGGTTGTGGGGATTAAGTTATAGCTTTAAGGCTTGAAGACAGGACTGCAATTCGAGTCTTTGGTGATTTAAGGACTCAGGGGTTTCGACCCTCCCGCCCTCCGAGCCGCTTGAGCAGGTGCTGCAGTCTGGGCGTGTGATCGATTTGGATGAGATCGCCTTGGCCATCTCCTCACCCCTGCAGTGCTCTTTCGAGCTGGCAGACCTACAGCCCCTCCAGGTGCTGCATGTGGGCTAACCCTCAATCCCAAACCCGAAACCCTGAACACCAAACTGTAAGCAGAAAACATCAACCCATGTGATTCTAGATCTGCCGGTCTCTGTCCACACGCAGTCATTGGCCGTTGCAGGGTGCGCAATTGCATACATATAGAAGTTTAAAGTGGCACTGGATGGATATATATATATATATATATACATATATATATATATATATATATCCATCCAGTGCCACTTTAAACTTCTGTGCCCAGGCAAGGCTGCAGGATGTGGCGAGATCGGGGCAATGGGTGCCTGACCCTGCGATTCCTATGAGCTGTGCTGGATTCTACTTTGATAGTGGGATGTGGGGCTGAAACAAACCAGTGTAGGCAAGGCCTGAAACCCAAACATTCCTATGTACATTTCCTCGAAAGTAGGGTTGGCATAAGGACGGATTTATGCTGGTATATATATATATATGTACATGTATAGACATATATTTCGTTCAATAAGATTGCCTAATATATATATATATATATATATATATATATATATATATGCATAATGTAATATAAGCAGCTGATCATCTAGGGCTCTGACTATTCCCTCTAAGTCGTACCTGCTTATATATATATATATATATATATACATACATACATACATACATACACATATGGTTTAGGACTGTCTAGCTCTTGGGCAATCGGTAGCCCCCCCCCATTTACTAATAGTTTGATTCCATAGCAAATGTTGCATTGGTTTGACGACACATACCAGGCCCCATATATAGGCACTTAGGACTTGCAGGGAGACATGTGTTTTAGCAGCTGTCCAGATCTGGGGTTCACGAAGTTCTAGTTATCAAGAACGACTTTGTAACGAGTGCTCCAGTCTTGAACGGCCGGCCTCGTTGACAATCGAACGCCGAGACTGCTCTGCAGGAAAACATCGCAATACCTTTGCATATGGTGAGGCTGTTGTGCAAGTGTGTACCATGTCCAGTGTGGATCGAGGATTGTCGAAACTTCTGCAGCATCACTGCTTGGACATAGTCTGTGCTATGTCATGTATGACCATATATGTATGCATAATATATACGAATTCTAGAAGCTAGTACTAGTATCCACCTGGTATGTGCTGCCAACGAGAGAGGGCGATATTGGGCGATATTCTGCGTTAGAAGTGCTCTCTGGGACCAACTGGAGCGATATTAGCCGTTATTCTGCGATATTCGGGATTCTAGGGGTGGATCTGTGCCACAGCATAGGCGATATTCAGCGATATTATGCGTTAAAAGTTGTCTCTGGGACAAACTTACGCGATATTTAGCGTTATTCTGCGTTATTGGGGCCATTCCTGGTGGTTTCTGGAATAGGTCTCTACCACCGTGCAGCCGATATTCAGCGATATTCTGCGTTAAAAGTTGTCTCTGGGACAAACTTACGCGATATTAGGCGTTATTCTGCGTTATTGCCAGCTCTTCGGTGGCTCGACCCATGGCTGCTCAGAACCCTGTGGGACAGCAGACCCAGGCACGCAACCCAAGGGCCACATGCATTGAACCCCAGCCAAACAATAATTGTGCCAGGGGTCCAGGAAGGACTTTGTGGAGAAGGAGGTCCAGAAAGCGCTGCGAGCTGCTGGTGTTCCTGTTTCAGGCAGGACAGGGATATGGATCGATGGTTGTGGTTTATCTGCCAGGGTCTTGGGCCCACACACCCGCAAACCTGAAGCCCTAAACCACCCTAAACCTTAAGACTTAAGGCTATATAATTGAATGCACTGTTCTAGGTCCTAACATTAAATTATATAATAACGTATAATATATTATATGTTATTATATAATTTAATGTTAGGACCTAGAACAGTGCATTCAATTTGGGCCCTGGAACCCATAAGCTTGCACCTGTGCTTATAAGTGCAATTGCAATTGTTTCACTTAACACAATAACTACCATAAGTCCGAAGCCCTTCAAACCACTCCTAGGAATTCGTAAAGGTCGATCTTCGAAATACCAAGCGACTCCAAAATGGCCTCTAGATCTATGATGCCCCCAAAGATAAGTCTCATCAATGGTTTGAGAAAGCCGGAGATCTTTTGACTATGTTTATATAATGAAACCATATACGGGTACAAGCATAGTAGCACTGCTATGTTTTTGCTACTTCTGGACTTTGGGCTTTCCTTTGGCCTACCCTGCTTCGAGGATCTGCCCCAACTCTATGTATATATAAGCTCCAAACCCCAAACCCTAAACCACCAACTTAATCTGGAAACCAAGATCACAGATAAACCCTGTCACAGGTTCTGGAACTGGGGGCACCGGTGACAGTGCTTATGTGAAGCCTGCAGCCCCTATCCCCAATATGCAGACAGCCCGTCGCAAGCTCACGGCGAAAACCACCCCCCCGCAGCTACATGCACAGCCCGGGGCCCCTCCTGCCAAGAAGCCTACTGTGAGCCCTCCCCCAGCACTGGGAGCATCCACCGTGCCACCCAAGGCCACAAAGAGCAACTCCTCTGCATAAGGATAAGTGATCATTTAAGATTCAAACCTTAAGCTCATTTTTTTTGTGCATGGGTGTTCACATCCCAGGTTCGACTCCACCGCCACAAGTGGCACTGAAGCTTCGAATGCCCAAGCAAGAGGTGAAGGCAGAGCAGCCGCATGTCGAGCCAGCCACTGGACACAACATCACTACAGCCCTGCCTGTGCAGCCTGCTGTGGACACAATCATCACTGCATCACCTGTTGACCCTGCAACAGCAGATACCCAGGTGGATGCCGACATGAAGCAAGCCAGCCTCACGGACAGTGCAGATGCAGAGATGCCCCCAGCAGTGGAGACACCTGCTCATGAGCAGGGTGATGTAGACATGGGACCCCCAGCAGTAGAGACAGCCCCCACGCAGACAGAGATGCCTCTTGATCAGGGTGATGCAGACATGCCCCAGGCGTGCGCAGGTGAGATGCCCCCACCATCTACGACACCTGTGAAGCCGAAGCCATCCGGTACAGAGCAGACACCAGTCGATCCACCCAAGCCAGCCGATGCTATAGACAGTACACAAGTGCAGGCACCAGTCGATGCACCCAAGCCATCCGATACACAAGTGCAGGCACCAGTCGTTGCACCCAAGCCATCCGATACACAAGTGCCGGCACCAATCGATCCACCCAAGCCATCCGATACACAAGTGCAGGCACCAGTCGATCCACCCAAGCCATCCGATGCTGTGGACAGTACACAGGTGCAGGCACCAGTCGATCCACCCAAGCCGTCAGTTGACTTGGCTTGCACACAGGGTACACCTTGCAAGCAGAGTGCCAGGCCCACAGAGACCCCTGACAAGGCAAGAGTTGTGGTCAGAACCACACCACAGAGCACACCGATCAGATCTCCCGCCTTGAAAAGGCTCAGAGCGCATGGTCAGAGCCCCAAGACCCTCTTCAATGAGGCAATTTAGGGTTGTGGGCTAGCAATTTTATATTTGTTTGAAAGGGGGGGTGGGGGAATCGGAGCTAGTAGGGTATTCGGGATTGGGTTTTGGGTGTTCAGGGCTTCAAGCCTTAAGGTGTGATGCGTGGTTGCCTTCAGTGCCTTGTCGAGGCGGATGATGAGACCAGTGCTGCGGCCGAGCCCCGTTCCTGAGCTTGCTTGGTATGAACTGCTGTAATTAAGTGTGATCCTCGAACCCTGGAATATCATATAGTTGGGCTAGCACCATCGATCTAGTCCTGTGGACCCTGCATCGTGAATCCTAAGCCTTCTGTGTCTATTGGGGCTCCTGCCTTGAGGCCTGGTTCCCAACCCGTGAAACTCCAGAATACCATAGTGTTGTGGCCCGAACCTGTACCCCTCCAATACATCCTAAAGCCTAGGTCCCAACCATAAACCTACTAGCCCTGAAACCTTCGAACCCTAAGTGATCCAAGTAAACACTAACTCAACCCTAAAACCCAAACCCCTAAGGCCCTAACTGGAGTCCTTGAATATGATACCCTTAATTAGAAGGAGCTTCAGAGGTCTCAGGTCTAGTATGTACACTCAGGTGTGCGACATGCTGACACGATGAGTACCATGGTCCTGGGGCAATGGAGTCGAGAGGACTTGCTCGAGGCTGCGCAGGATGAACCCAAACCGAGCTTGGTGGCAGCCCTTGCCGAGAAATACTTTGGGTTGCACACTGAGGGTGGGGCTGATGAAAGTATGGATGCGGCCGAGATGGCCGAGGCTTCTAGCTTGCTGACATGGGCAGCTCATGTTCTTGGTCCCAGCTGCAGTTCCGAGCGCCGGGATGTGGCCTTGGCAGAAGCAGAAGAAATGGCGGGGGAAAGCTTTCGGGGTTCGGCTCTCTTGCCCCACGAGAGCAAGCTCTTCCTGGCCCCGGCTGTTGAAAGTGTCAATGAGGCACTGTGTCGAATCCGTGAGTTCAAGGGTCTCGAGGACTCAGTGAAATCGGGACAAGAAGCTGTTCATCGACAAGTTGAGAAAGCACGAACTGCCCTAAGCCAGCAACATGCAAAGGGAGACATTTCCGATGATGTGCACACGCAAAAACTCAAGGCCCGGCTCAAGGGAAGATTTTGCTTATACACTATTTAGGGCATGTAGCTTGCTAATAAGGTTTAGGTTCGAGGTGTAAGCGGGTTTCGGGCTGTGGTCTCCGGGTTTAGATTTAGGGGTTTAGGGTTGAGGGGTAGGTTTAAATTTACCTGTGGGAGGCCGTGGATGCATGGTGCACGAAGAAGGAACAGGAGCTCTATGAGAAGATACAGGCAAAGGAAGACGAGGTATGTACCAAGATCAATGAAGCGATTGCAATGATCTTGAAGGCCTGGGACAACCTGAAGCCTCAGCCGGCACTCTTGTCAAGGATTGACGAGCATTGTGAGCAGCCCATGGAAGTGGATGCTATGGAACAAGAGATGATGGCCGAGCTGGATGCCCAGCTGTTGGCTACTACCCTCAACGAGGCCTATGATGATAGATGTGTGCCCTTTCACATTCGAAGCTCCCCAGGTTGGTAGGTCCGTGTATTAATAGGACCTACATAAAAGCACACTTCTAGGCTTACCTTAAACCCGACCCCCTGTTGACCCTCAACCCTGAACTCCTACAACTAGCTCTAAGACATAAACGACCCCAAAGCCTTAAACCCAGATCTGCTTGCAGGATGCGAATATGGAGCCGCCGCCTGCCGATGAGTCCTCACAGGGAGCTGCAAAGGCTGCAGGGGTTACCGATGGCCTGTTGGGCAATTCTGAGATCAAGGCTGCAGAGGGTGCCGGTGGCCTTTCGTGCAATTCGGATATCAAGGCTGCAGAGGGTGCCGGTGGCCTTTCGTGCAATTCGGAGATCAAGGCTGCAGAGGGTGTGGGTGGCCTTTCGGGCAATTCGGAGATCAAGGCTGCAGAGGGTGTGGGTGGCCTTTCGGGCAATTCGGAGATCAAGGCTGCAGAGGGTGTGGGTGGCCCGGCAAATGTGCCAACGGATCTTGCACTTGTGAAGCCATCAGGCATTAAAGGTGCGGTGGGCGCAGCCCTTGACAAGGGCCTTATCCAGGACATTCTTCTGCGTCGCCCAGACAGCTTTCAGCTGCAGGAGATGGGTTACCCTACGGCCTAAACCCTCAACCTAGGACCTTGCCCTATTTGCTTCTTTAAATCTGTTTCCTGATGATGCCCCTGCTTTTTGCTGCAGGAGTCTGCTCTAGCCTTGAAGGATGGTGAATCGGAAGAGGAACGCCTCTTGCGTATTGCCCACAACATCTACATGAAGTTCAATCGGAGCCACAAAAGAAGCTAGACAGCATATGTTACTAGTCCAGCCCTATATTTGATATCAAAGCAACCAGTACCCGAACAACTATTTATAATTAGTAATGAGGCAAGAGCTGTCCTCCAGAAGTCGTCGATGCGATGGCGAAGTGCAAGCGCGGCGGGGGCCCCTTGGTCATAATGGATTTATAGATGTAGGTCTGTACTTATAAGCTTCAGGTGTGAGGGGCCCTTATAAGATCAGGTGCCAAGTCCCTCGATGAGATGTTCATTGAGTATTTGAGATGTGATGGCAAATGGATGGAGTCCAACCTGATTGTCAAGCAAGTCACCAGCAAGGGCCAGCTGGTGGAAGGGGTTGAGTGCTACATGCGCTATATGGATCTAAAAAAAAAGGAGGGGGTGGTCACCGCAAAGCTCATTCGAGATGAAAAGAGACTCCTTCAAGAAAACCTCGAGCAGAATCCCGACCCCGATGTGTTGCCCTTCATAATGGCGCATCCGGACCTCCCCGGCTCGGAGGACTCATGTGGCTATACTACTAGCTCCAAAATGGCCTTAAAACCCTAAACCTTAAACCTCTACTGTGCATGTACTATTACTGGGCATAATGTAGCCGTCGATAGTTATGGGGTGTACTCGGATTGCACTTGCTAGGACTGGGAGCTGGTGAGAGTGTTTGAGTCTGCGAAGATCACCAAGAGTTCCGCCCGGAAGTCGGAAGCCACTCTATCCACTGACATGGATCTGGATGGGGAGCAAACCCGTGCTATCCTGTTTCTTGCCTAGAATAAAGTCATCTGGCCTGATACCTATTAAGTGCAATCCATAAAACCTAATCCCTAAACCTACTCCGAATCCCCAAACCCGAAACCCCGATCCCTAATTCCAATGCCTCCCAAGACTGGGGATATCAGCCCTGGGTTGCACTTAGGATTTTGGCTGCAGGGTTTAGGGTTCAGGGTTCAATTATATATGGGGTTCAGGTTTAGCAGTAGTGTTGCCAAGCCATGCACCCACAATATATATATAACCGAAACTCTCTGACCCTTGGGGATAATAATTAATAATAAGCCCTCCTGATCATGAACCCACGCTCTGAAGGCCATGTGCCCTGGGCCTCGGGAATGGACAGCTTCCTCAAGCATCCAGCTCCGGATCCAATGCTGCATTGCCTGTGCCAGCTGGCTTGCGATCTCTTGGGTCAGCGGAGAGCTTGCAAAAGGAGCAAGATGAGCTGAAAAAGCTCAGGAAGGCTGGCAAAGGTGGATTCGCAAACCAAGTGCGCACAAAAGCCAAGCAAGTGGAAGACAAGATCAAAGAGCTAGATGATATCCAATCGAAGCTTGCTGAGAACCCCCCTCACGTGCTACTTGGCTCATATGTTATGGCCCTATATAGCTATAGTTCAGCCCCGGCCGTACCCTCACCTCTGTCCCGCAGGTCCGCACCTCTGCGCAACGGCTATCACGACGAACTCGAGCTCCACCGTTCTTCCTTGAAGGAAGCGGTTGAGCAGCTGCAGGCGTTCAATTTGGGGTCCAGGGAAGCCCGGGAACCGAAACCCCAAACCCAAGACACCCACACCCTTCGTTTCGTGGAAAACCCTCCTAAACCCTAATCCCCTGAAAACCCAAACTCCAAATCCTCCCAAACCCAAACCCGAAACCCTGCGAAACCTGAAAGCCCTCCTAAGCCCTAGTAACCTCGAAGCCACTGAAAGAATAGACCCTACAATTAGACTAAAACCCAACACCTATTATTGAACCCTCCTAGATCCCACACCCATAATATCCAACCCTAAATCCAGCCCTGTGAAGCTTTGTGAGGCTGATGATTTGGAGGACCCGGCAGAGCAGCAGAAGCGCATGGAAATGTTGGCCACCCTGATGAAGAACTACTCTGACTCCGCCAACATGATCAAGAAGAAGGTTGTGCCATCGATAAATTTAGCCATAATCCCAATCCCTTACATCCTAGGTCCTACACCCAATTGAGCCTAAAGCCTAATATTGTTGCAGCAGTAGTTCCCTTATGTGTTTTCTGCAACCTAGGCAGAGCCGAAGGCCAAGGAGGCCCCAAAAGCAAAGGCCAAGGCCAAGGGTAAGGCAAAGTCCAAGAAGTGATTCTGGAGCCGAGTGCATTAGCACCAACAGACAATATGGTCAAATGTGTGGGATGGCAACCTAGCCTGTGCAGCCATCATGGTGTACACTGCATGTGTACACAATGACCCAAATTTAAACTAGCTATAATAGCTTAATGGGTTCACAGTGACTGCAAATTCCATTGGGTCTTTTGTGTGGCCATGCAGGGAGTGAGCTCGAATACTGGGGGGCTTCACTCGGTGCAGCAGTGGTGGGTCTGCACATGTGTGGCCCTAGGCCTGCACATATTTTGTGACCGGGCATGCGGGCGGAACCTGCATGTGATTTAAAGCCTGACCAATGCAATGCAGACGGTCCATGTCTAGTTTGACTCTCGAAGTGATATCTCGATGCGGTGTGTGGCGCGGACACACAAAAGCATGCTGTGATTGGGCTGTGCTGCATGGTCAACACATATGGCAATTTCTGATCTGTAGCTATAGATCCCCGCAGGTGTCGAGAAGAAAAGCTTGGGGCCTCTTTGTCGACATGTCATGAAATGTACCGGGAAAGGCGCCTCCAGGCTGAAATTTTAATCATTCTTAAAGCTTGCAGTGTGGCCCTGAAATTGAAGCCCTTCTAGCCTTTCAAACAGTTTTATATATGTCATCCAAGCCACTCCATCCCAGGACCTCAGCTTTGTTGGAGCTGTGACAATGCTGCAGCAAAGTCACAAGGACCAGGGCCTAAACCTGAATGTTAGATTTAGGGTTTGGGGTCCCTTTATATAAGCCATTAAACCCTAAACCCCTGAAGCCCTAAACCCTGAACCCTAAACACCAAACCCTAAAACACAATCTGTACACAGGAGATCCATGCCAAGGGTGCATCCCTGTGCCCCATGGGAGAAAAGCTTCGACGTGCTGGGGCTTGTGGCAAATGGACATCCAACACGGAACGTGATGTCTTGCGCACAATGACATCAGCATTGGGTTGTGTCGCATGGCTGATCGATCTCGAATGCTTGTACGTGTACATGTACACTAGTACTAGTGTTGTCCAGTCAATGGGATTAATGCGAGGTTCCAATCAGCTATGTGCAGGTGCCGATGCGCGCATCGGTAACAGATGACACAGTGATCCAACGGCCCCTTGAACAACCCAAAGGGTCCTAGCTTAGAGGTACCTATATATGTACTTAGGGTTTAGGTTTAGGTGCTAGGATTTGGGGTACCGTTGGGGGGCACCTGTCTTGGCAAAATAGGAGACTACCTGTTGTCCTCCCACATCATTTGCTTCAGTATCTTCATCAAAGGGGGATGTCGACTGATGCATTGGACAGGGAAGCCAACCGTGAGTATTGGGCCCATATGGTCAAACACACTGATTGGGCTGCATCCCACCCATGCAGCCAATACCCAGAAACTTCCATCCCGACCTTCCTGTACGGCGACGATGTGAAGTTCAACCGGCAGGAGAAATTGACCTGCACCTACCTGGGCTTCATCTTAGCCGACAAGAAGGGCCTAGCAATGCGGACCCACTTCCCGATATTTATCGTCAGGGAGGCTGGGGCTTATAACCGGCAATAATGTCATTTCTAACAGCACTGAGCCCAAAACCCTGTAAAGGTCTTCAGCCTGGGCTTCAGAACCCTCCAGGCATTCATGAAGCCGGCACTCTGACAGCATGGGATTGTGTTAAGTTGCAAGATATAGCTATTAATGTTACAGCTAGCCCTGACCTCACGACCAATGCAAGGTAGTCACATCGCTGAATGCTGCCATCTTCGGCTTCACGCCAGCCCGCCCCATCCTGAATGCCGATGGTACGTGCGAGGGGGAAGGTGTGCCGGAAATGCTAGAGCAACCACTTGTGGTGGACAATGGGGAGGTGGTCCGGTTTCCACTTTGTGAACTACGTGGTGATTGGAAGTTCTACAAGGCAGTACAAAATAAATTAAGGGAAACGACTGAACATATAGTGCCTAAACTCTAACCCCGGACGATAACCCTGAACCAGGAATGGCTGGGGATGAGTGTTGGGTGGAGCGCCTGCAACATCTGCCACCATTGCTATGTGCAGAAAGGGTCTTTTGTGACGGTTCCAGCCCAGCTACAGCATCAGCCTCGACGTGACATGCGCAGCTTTGTGACTGAGTGTGCACAACAGCCTCCGGGTGTGCATCCAAGATGCTCGGCTATCAAATTTTGGTTTAGGGCTTAGGGGTTAGTGGATAGTATGGGTGCAGCCTTCTAGGTTGGATTTTGACCATTGGTGGTTTTCACCACACGATGGTGAGATGGTGCTCCCTCCACCAGTTGAACCTGGGGCCACTCGTATGGGCATCTGGGGCATGCCTTGAGCTGCTGTGCAAGCAGGATACACGGTCTTTTACTCTCGAATTATTGAATCCGATCCCTTCTTTAACCAAGCCCTGCCCTCGAAACCCTAAATCGGAGACCAAACCTCTGGACCTGTGGAGGACATTTGGCCTGGGGTGTCGAAAGCCGATCAGCTCAAATCTGCCTATGCAGCTTTTAGGGCTTGGTGCCGGGAACGCAAGATTGTGCACCCCTGGCTATTTAACTATATATATATATATAAGTTTATAGTTACATATATATATATATATATTATCCATAGTAGGGATATGTACGACCTGCTATATATTAATGGTGCTGAAAAATCAGGCATTCGCAACCCCTCTTTCAACCGAAGCACCTCCGTGGGAAAGATGGGGAAGTGGAGCTGGCCGCCAAGGCGTACAATGTGCCTTGGATGGGTTTATAGTGGGGTTCGGATGTGGTATACAATAATATAATTAAGTTAATTGTCAGATTCAGCTCCAGCTAGCATAGGTCCGAGTCGTGACGAGCTGGCTTGCGGATACGGTGACGGAGCTTGTGCACCAGGAAGGCTATGACACAGAGGAGCTTCTGCTCTTGGCCCAGTGCATGAAACTGGGCGGTATAATTGAAATAGCACCCTGCAATAATCGAGTATGCTACACCCAAACTTTCGATTCATGTGCTCTAATAGAACTCAAGCCTATTTCGAGGCACTTCCTGTCGGAGCTGATGAACAATCTGGAGATTGCCCCACGGTATCTCCAGGACAACCACATTCAAGCCATCTCCTATGCTGCAGATGCAAGCCTTGCTGCCTACCTTGGTTTGGCTGCCCAATGTGCAAGTATTGGTCTCCCGTACTTCCCCATCCGGCCAAAGCTGCATGCATTTTGGCCTGCTTACTTCAATGTGTATTTGTTTTGGGGTCAAACTCGTGATAAGCTCCTTATAGCTAAACCCTCAACACTCAGCCCTCAACTTTAAATCAATTGATTTGCAGCCCAGGCTGTACAGGAAATGGTGTTCTTCGCCGCCAAGGAGCGTGGCCAGGCTGATTTCGTCATGTTTGCGCACATATATTTATTGGTGTGTGCATGCCTACCTCATCATATGCATGCAAGCTGAGGCTACAACTTCAGGCATTATCACACATTCCTGGCAGAGGACATGAATGGCCGGTTGGTTGGTGACTCTACTGAATTCAAATGTTCCCCAAGGGTCCATGTACCATTAGTTTTATTAATATAATACATTGGCCCCAATGTACACCTATACATATATATATATATATAGATAGATATACATAGGGACTACTTTAATTAATTGAAGCCTTTTTGGGTACATGGACCCTTGGGGAACATTAGGACACCACGAAATTGGAATTCGAATTAGTGATCGATAGAATCCGGTATCAACTACAATTATATGGGGACTGGTCCCGGGATGATTATCTAGTCCAATTCGTTTAATTTTGCCTGATTTGCAAGGAATCGCTTCAAGAGTTCACTCCCGGGCCCTGGAGCGAAGCACTCTGCAGCGCTACTACCTTTGGTGACTTGGTGCAGATCCAGACCCCATTTATGGGGCATGTTTATTCTAAGGCTAGCATAGACTAAACAGGAGATGGGTGATGGGCTTTTGAATCGAAACCACAGGAATGCAAGCTCTGAACAAACCCTAGCCCCAGCCCTCAACGATCCAGCTGAGAAAGATAACATTTAGTCTAGGTATTAGGCCCTGCCTGGTGTGGGTATTTGCAGGCTTTCTGTTTTCCTTAAGAATTATATATAGTAAGCCCAAACCCAAAATCTATGTCCTAAACCCTAGACCTTAAGTGGGTTTTGGGTTCTGGCCAGTCGAGGCTAATTGCCGACGACATGGGTGCTGAGTCTGGTGATGATGAAATGTAGGCCTAGCTGCGATGGCGAAAGAGCTCTTAAGCTGTGATCGAGTATATAGCTAGCTAAACCCCGGCCCTACAAAAAGCTGTGCAGTGGAGCTCCGAAGCACATGCACAAATTAGATCGTGTTTGAAGACACGATCATCTGCAGTCCGGCAAAATACAAGGGTGCAGCATCTTCGACCGAGGCTCTAGAGTCAGAGCTTGCGATTTTGGGTTTAGGTCTAGGATGGTCTAGGGTACAGGGTTCGGGGTCCGAGGTTCAAAGGTTAAGGGTCTAGGGTCCGGTACAGGGTTTGGGGTCCGAGGTTCGGGGGTTAAGGGTCTAGAGTTGTATCCCAAAAATCCTCAAGGATTGGGGGAGTTAGGGGTTAGGGTTGATGGTGTTTTAAGCCCGGGGCTTCAGCCCCATATCGTGTGCTCAGACGAGATCTGCCCAAAATCTGAACCCTATAAGCCCTAAACCCCTATATACACCCTAAACCACACCTTCCAAATTCGATGACCCTGTGGCAAGCCATGGCCTTGGGCCACAATACCCCAGAACGCCTGAACCGTAAACTGCTCTAAAAGAAACCCTACCTGAACTGCACCATACGAAAACTTTCGCGATCTGTCACATTAGTATTATTAATAATACTCATGTGTCAGATCGCGAAGGTTTTCGTATGGTGAGGGTTTAGGTTTAAGGGCCCGGGGTTGGGGTTTTGGTTGCTTGGGGCTTCGGCTTGAGTCTTCAGGGTTTGGGGTTCTTGCGGTTTCTGCTTGAGTGTTCAGGCTTTGGGGAGTGTGCGGGTTTGGGTTGAGGGGTTGGTGCTTCAAAGGTTTTTTTTTGCAGTTTCGGGGTCTCGATGTGCCATATATACATATTTATAGCATAGGTTAATTAGATCCTCTGACCCGGAACTGTGGCTTTCTGGAGGTTGATTATTGTGATGTTCTGTTTGTGTTTTTTTCGATCACACACACACACACACGCAGACATAAATTGCATGTGTGAACGTCATTGACATATCATTTTTAGCCTTTAAAAAATTGTCCAGAAGCCATCATTTGTCTCAGAGCCAACGTTGTCCACGAGCCAACGCCGTTCTCGTCTTATATAAACTGCTAATAGCTGGTTTGCAAGTTGTGTCTAAGACCACACCCGGGACCCTTTGGGAAAGAGACACCTGCTTCTGGGACCGGAACATCGAGAGGCAGGCAGGCTGGCTGGACACCTTCTAGAAAGAGTTGCTGGAATCCACAGGGCAAGATGAGGCACCGGCTGGAATCCACAGGGCAAGATGAGGCACCGGCCCGTCTGGCAGCGTCTCCAGGCACCACCAGTTCACCTGACCAAAGGCGAAACATCTCAAACGAAGGTAGTTACGACACGATGCAGGCAATGAAGGACCGGTCCGGTACTTTTTTTTCTATCGCAGTTCTTGCGCCATGCTCCAATCGATCTCCCCTAGACTGGAGCAAGCTCTGATCCACGCAGGGTGGGATTCAAAATGGTGCAGATCTGGCTCCCAGACTCCGAGCATCATCCGGCCGCGTTGTAGTTGTCTTGGTCAGGAGTATGTTCCGCAACAGTTCCTTGGTTGGGTTCTTCGTATAGCAGACCTGCATGCAACAGCAGGCAGGGGCTATACGGGCCGAAGGACCTATATCGACGAGCAAAAGAAGCCGAGTGGCGTCCACGAACTCCAGCATGTTCTTGCTCTTCTGCACGGCCTTGTACTCCTTCCTGCAGGATGGTGACAAACCCAAGAAGTCTGTAATTACGTATGTTCATCTCTTCACCATGCATAGCTAATGTTCTGAATACTTTAAATTAAATGCCTGGAACCAGCAGGTCCTCTTCTTGTACTCTAGCGGTCTGGTCCCCCTCTTGTGTCTTCCACTTCTTGAAGAGCGCGGCTTGTCCTCATGGTCATCTTGCACGGTGATGACTCCGTTCTGCGCGTCTGGCAGGACAATGGCGCTGCACGCAGCCGCTGGCTGTTCTTGCTTGATGGAACACGTCTCCTTCGGCTCTTCCTTGATTTGCTGCACCTTGCTCTTCTTCCGACTGCCGCTCGCATCTTGCATGAGCTCTTGCGCCTTGCTCTTCTTCCGACTGCCGCTCGCATCTTGCATGAGCTCTTGCGGACGTTTGGAGCGAGCAACGTCCACGGCACCCTTAACAATGGCCATAATTTCTTCTTTGCTCTTGCCCTGGAGCTCTGGGTAGACACAAGGGGCAACCATGGCTCGGACCTTTCTTAGCCTGGATGGAGCCTCTGGCTGTCCCAGTTGAAAGCTTCATTCATGCAGGCAATGAAAGACCGCATTGGCCAAACCAGTCCCTTGAAAATTTCCAAGGCCTGTCGCTCTTCCCACGCAGAGGCGAGGAGACGGCCTGTCCAATTGTCCAATTCATACATATCATGGTGAAAGACCCGCAGAATGGATGGACGACGTGTCTCCAACAAATGATACGGAGTAAGCACCGGCAGTCTTGAGCGTGGGCACAGTTGTAGTATTATTAAGTAAAGTAAGTGTTAAAGCAAAAGACTCACTGTATCATCAATCAATGAACGACTAATTAATGTGCGAAGTCGATCGATCCTGCTGAGTCCGCTGCGGATGACACCGAAGAGGAAATGGTTGACCTGGGGAGGTTGAGGAGGACAAACCGAAAGTGCAGGACTTGTCCGGAAGCATGTCCCCCTAAGGCTTTGAATGACGGCAGGCACTTTTGGTGTCATGCACAACGCCCAGTCAAGTTGCATCTATCTGTCGCCTGCTGAAAAAATCTTGCCTGTCTCTTGCAGGAAGCGCAGCGTTCACCATTTCGGGCACCAACATCAAGGCTCCATAGACTATAGATTTCTTGCGTATCTTGCGGCACATGCATTGTGAGACGACTTGACAACAAAATTGACTCCAAGGGCAGTGTAGACATGGCCCTTGCAGAGAGGCATCTTGCAGACACACTTTGCAAACATCTGTAAACTAAAACTTTATATACCTGCTTGTATGCAAGCAGTGTCAGACCAGCATCATCGTGAGCACAGCAGCTGCGATCTTGCTTAACTGAAATATTTCTTGCACCTGCTGTTGCTGATGACTCTTGATCTCAGGACTCGGACGACTCACTGGCACTGTTCACGGTGAGAGTGGGATAGATCCTGGGGAAGGGCCTGGATGAGCAAAGCTGCTTTTCTTGCTTCTCTCTGGACAATTTCCGGCCTGATTAATCTGCGGCGCTTTCGTCTTGACAATGACAGTGGAGCAGGTAGAAAGCAACTCTCTGGAACCGGGGCTCTTGGCTTCTGCGAGTGTGGAACTGTGGTCGTGGTTGGCTTCTGCGGGGAGTGTCCAGCGGGCTCTGGAAATAGGGCGGTTCTTGCTGCTGTTGGCTCTGGAACCGGGGCTCTCGTGGTCGTGGTCGGCTTCTGCGGGGAGTGTCTCGTGGTCGTGGTCGGCTTCTGCGGGGAGTGTCTCGTGGTCGTGGTTGGCTTCTGCGGGGAGTGTCCAGTGGGCTCTGGAACTAGGGCTCTTGCGGTCGGCTCTGGAGTGTGCAGTGCTTCTGGGCTTTCCAGGCCCTGGCAGCTGTGCACATGAAGGTGAACTCAAGTCGAGCTTGTAATTTAGAATGTTTCAATTGGAAAGAAGCAACAGCCTCGTACGACTTTGCAAGAAGCCTCTCCAGAGTGGAGGACGCCTCCGAACGGTCGTCGTCTTGCTCCTGCAAGGTGCCGGGAAGCTTCTGAGCTCGCGCGGCTGTGTCAGGAATAAGGTTAGGACAGACACTTACTCACAAAGAAGCTCCTCCTCCGAAATCTGATCCTCCGAACGGTCGTCGTCTTGCTCCTGCAAGGTGCTGGGAAGCTTCTGAGCTCGCACGAGCGTGTGACTTAGATGCCTTATGGGTAAGGTTCGGACAGTTCCGAACACGGCTTAGTCTCGCAAACCCCGGCCTTTCGGTGTCTCTGCAGGTTGGGGCCGTTGTTCTGTACCTATGAAAAACATTCTGTGAAAGAGCAGTCATGAATGGCCAGACACAGAGCTGGAAACAACGCTAGTAGGAAATCCTAAAACGACAGCATCTCAAAGCGGACGGAGGACACTCTTGGCCCATGTTGCATCAGCAGCAAGCTTGTCCAAGACGATCGTCGCAGCCGACATGTTGCCCGTCTGGACAAAAGCACTGGCACTGTGTTTTTGCGGAAACACGAACGAGCTTCTTGCTAGAGCCGACGGAATGCAAAGGCAGGAGTGGCTGGGGACTGGTCAATCGAGCAGAATTCAGAATGTCGGACTGAGTGGCCGGCATCTCGGCCTGGTATGTGGCCCAGGCAATGTCCCGGCCTGGGTAAGGACAAGCGCAAGACAGATGACTGAAATCAGACCGGGGACATCCCTGCAAAAGATCAAGAATGGCTGTTTGTTGCTGTTGCAGCATTTCTCTCCAGGAAAGGACAGATTCTTGCAGCGAGGCAGTCAGAGCATGCATCATCCTTTTTCTCGCTTGTGCCATGTCGTCTCTGGCTGTCTGCGACATTGCGAAATCTGGCTGTCTTGCGACGCACGCGACAGAGACACATTAACCGGTCCGGTGGAGCGGGCTTCTTGCTGTACCAGGCTTTAATGTGCGCTCAAGGTAAGTATTGGACTCCTGAAGTGTCTTGCACCTCTGCACCACTGAAGCTGGCCGTCGTTGGAAGGATCTTGCAAACCCCCCTGCAAAGATGTCTTGCCAAAAAAACGCCATTCTTGCGGTGCTTGGAGTCTGGCTCACATGAGCTCTGATCCTGGCGGAGTGTGCCACTGGACAGCGATGCGGAGCACCAGGTAGTAGTTCTTGCGAATAATCCGGCAATCTTGCACAGCCATCCCGAAAATTTCCTCAAGATCTTGCCTAATCAGGAACTCTAGCATACCGCCATGGAGGTCGTTAATGTACCCCAGCTCACACGTGCAGGTATACTGGCCGCAGAGGGCCTCTTGCTCGCACGCCCGGATAAACTCTAACTTCT